TAAAGAGCTCGAAAGTCTCAGAGTTGGTTTTTTCTTTGCACCAATAATTGCATACATATTATCTTCCATGAATCAACAAAATATAAAACTTTCAGTCTATCAATATGCTTGGTAGGAGCAAACCTTGTTGTGCTGTAAGTCTTATAAACATTAACATAATTTCTTGAAATCTGCAATATGTGTTTTGATGTTCCATTTTTTTTAATGTATTTAAAAGAAAATTTCCGTTAAACTGAGAGAGACTACAATGTTGTTGTAGATCGGTGAGGAATGGGATGATAGTCTACAGTCGAAAGAGCAAATTGAGGCGAGCTTGCTGCATAAATTTGAAGCTGCAATGAGGCGTGAACGGGCTTTAGCTTATTCATACACTCATCAGGTATTTCAAATATCATTCTAACCGTAAAACACAATGTCCCGCTATCTCACAACGTATTAATGTTGCTAAAAGTGTCACGAATTACTAATACCACCCTCGAGGTTAAGTCTAACTCAGTGCTCCCTTACTTATGTGGCATGCACACATTGGTGATATATTTTTTTGAACATATTAACATCACCAATGTGTGCATGCCATATAAGCGGTGGACATATTAACATGTGCCCACCGTGGGTAGGGGAGCATTATTCAAGTCTAACTACCCAAAAAAAAAGAGACAACTTTACTATTTGCAAATTACCAATTTTAAGAAACATGTTCATTTCACAAACTTAACCCCTTCGAGTGAGCTGATTTTGTGGTTTTGATTGGATATGAATTTTATTGGAAAAAATCAATCATTTTTGACTCAAAACATTTTTTTTTTTTGTAAACTCATCTTTAATCCAACCTCACTATCCTCAATATTATCAATATAATTAAATAATATTAATCAATCATTCTTACACATTACATCAACTTTAATTCACTATTTTGCCACTCACATAAATTTAGCTATCACTTCACATCATCTCTCTCCTACTTTTATATCAAATTAAACTTTAATTATTTTATTTTAATATTATTTTAATATAAACTCAAAAGTCCACTAACAACTAACCATATCATTTTTTTTCAAAATGAACTATGATTAACAAAAAAACCAATCAAAACCAAATCAAATCTAATATCCAATCACAATAACAGTTACTCGGTACTTGTTCTTTTGGAAAATAACATTTTTTTCTTTTAAATTTATACCTAACATTTTGGTTTTAATCATATAACATTTATCCTACTTCTAACAGCAAACATGGAAAAAATCATCCAAGCCGACCAACTTGCTCTTCATGGACCCAACCAATCCTCACTGGGGCTGGAGCTGGTTAGAACGCTGGATGCCAGCTGTCACCGGGCCATTGGATAATTATTCCCAAATTGCCCTCGATAAAGAAAACAATATCAAAACCCCTTCCGGACTTGGTGACATAACTAAGTCTTTTGCCCGTCATCAGCTCTCGAATTCCGAGCCAAATCCACCTTCACCGACCAGCCTAAAAAAACCTCCGCTTACCCCAAAATCATCAGCCTCTGTAACTTCCAAGAAAATCAAGCTCCCGAGCCCGAAAGGGAGCTCAATTTGTCAAGATGATGAATCGAGAAGTACTGTTAGCCTTAATTCGGGAAGGAATAATAGGAGGCATACAATTGGTGGGGGCTCGTCTATTAGAGACGATGAGAGTTTGACGAGTTCACAAACCTTGCCGAGCTACATGGTGCCAACTCAGTCGGCTAGGGCTAAGCTGAGGCTTTCGAGTCCATTGGGAATGGAGAATGGTGGTTTTAATAATAATAATAATGATGATGATAATAATAGTAATAGTAATATGCCTCACAAGGGGTCGGTTAAAAAACGGCTTTCTTACCCGCCTTCGCCGGCTAGGGGGAGGAGAAATCTGGGCGTGCAAAAATCAGAGTTGTGAAGGTTTTCAACCATTTACATTGTTTGATTTTTTATTACTGGGTTTGGTCAAATTGCTATTCTTGATGTTTTTCATTTTGTGAATGTTGTGAAAATTGTGTGACAGAACAATTTGGAGTTGTGATTCTTTATTGACATTTCAATTTATTTATTAATTTTTTTTTATTTTTTTTTTTTGGGTAGTTTGTGTTTTGTTTGTTGCCATTGTGAGGAGGGCTTTGGTTTGTGGTTTTGGTTGACCAAGGCTGTGAAAATGTCCTAATGATTGGGGCTGAAAAAGTGAAAATTATTACAATTCTTGACAAGGTTGATGATAAAACAACGTTAAAGTGTTCTTGTTGGCAAGTTATTTTACCTCTGTACAGGCTAGAGCTACAAACAGCTGTACCGATTTTGAGATCTTGACTTATACTTGAGCACGAGCCTTTAACAATTTAGGATTCAATGTAAAAAATCCTATTTTATCAAGTCTAACAAGCCTAATCTCGTTGACTAAATGAGCATTAAACAAGTTTGATGCGACTCGTTTATCACTATGAACGACAAGCGACTCATTCGCTTAATCTAAATAAGCTTAGATTAAAGGACTAAAGCCAACAAACATCCATTTCATTTTAATTTGAATGAGCCTTAAACAAGTTCGAACTTGACTAATTCATAAAAAAACCAGAGCGGACAAGCAACCCATTTTATTTAATGGCAAACAAATGTGGTATTTA